GGACCCTGGCCCCTTCTCACTTAAACTGGTGCTCCCGGGAGCTGCGGATCTTGGAGGAGAACCTCTCAGCCAGCTTCTCCAGGCTGCGGGAGTACTCAAGCTCGATCTCAGCTTTCCGGCGGAAAAACTCCTGGAGGTCCTGTAGCAGCTGTAGCCTAGACTCCGACTGCTGCTCCAAGCATTTGAACTGCTCCACCAGCTGCGTGCGGATCTCTGCAGGCAGAGGCAAAGAACAGACAGGACATTAGGCTGGTGGGGACCACCCAGAGCCTCTTGGGTCATTGGCACAATGATCTGGCACTTGCCAGGGTTTGCCACATGGTCTAAAAAGTCGAACCACTGCATATTGCCTCCAGCATTGTTATTTCTGCCATATCGTCTAGTAAACTGGCTCACTTTTCTTACTGAAATGAGGTTATTTTAGATGAACAGTTTTACAATAAAAGCAGAGCTGGCTTGGAATCAGACCTCCTCATTCACAGTCAGATCTTCTCCCCTTCGTTGCATCCTGATATATGCCCTCCTCCCAAATTTCAGCATAACCCCCTGGGGCTGATGACCACCTATACATATCCTCAGTGTAGCAAAGATGCATTAAGTATGTACCCAATAAAGTAACATCACACACAAAAAAAATAAAAATTAAAAATAAATAAATAAATAAATGAACAGTTTTATGTCACTATAGTAAGGGGAAACTAGGACCGCTTGCCATCCTGTTACATAGAAAATCAATTCAATGAAAACAAATATTTTGTAAAGACTAGAGATGACTGCTTATCAAAGGCCCTAAGCCTAAACTGCTCGCTACCGACAAAAGGAAAATGGGAACATGAGTGGTGTTAAAGAAAGATGTTGCTCGGGACTGAGAAAGGGCTGAGAGGGAATGCCTTTTGCTCTTGGGTTTCAGTATTACTTAAGGCCATGCCGGTGTTCCACTCTGAATTATCTTAAGCTCCATGCATTAACGTCTCAGGTACCACTAGAGCAGTGATGGCGAACCTATGACACGCGTGTCAGAGGTGACACACGAACTCATTTTTTTGGTTGATTTTTCTTTGTTAAATGGCATTTAAACGTATAAAATAAATATCAAAAATGTAAGTCTTTGTTTTACTATGGTTGCAAATATCAAAAAATTTCTATATGTGACACGGCACCAGAGTTAAGTTAGGGCTTTTCAAAATGCTGACACGCCGAGCTCAAAAGGTTCGCCATCACTGCACTAGAGGCATGCAGCCCACACTTCAGGAAATACTGACCGAGCAAACCGGGCAAAAGTTCAAAAGCTAGGGGTGAGGGTGGGGACTGGAGGGTGGTGGAGATAAAAATCACAGCCTGGGTATCCCAATAACCACAGCCAACCTTATTGTCAAGCCCGCAGTGTTGTCACTGCCTGAACTCTTTCCCAGCCGTCCATGAGCTGCTCGACAGATCAGTGTCCCCACAGCACTCTGCTCACACCAGTGCCCTGCTCGAATCAGCCCATGGCCCCCTCTGCCTGAGTATTAAATCCAACTCCATACCATGGATTCAAGGCCATCTACCACCCAGCCCCAAACCTAACTTCTCGGGATTTACCCCCAGTACACTGTAAAACCATCCAAACCAGTCCCTGAAATGTCCAATCCCGCCTGCATTAATGGGCACCCTGTCTGAAAAGGTGGTGGCACCGTCTTAGCATCCTTGAGAGAAGTGGTCTTCAAAGGGGCAGCCCTGCCCTTTGTACACGAAGCTCCCCAAGGAGCCGCGGGCAGGAAGAGCTCTAAGGGAATCAACTGGAGATCCTGTTTCCATCCCCACTCTTCTGCTCTGCCTGAGAATGTGGCTCAGTCTCGATGACACCACCCCTCTTTTCCCACCTCTCCCTTCAATAGGCCTTCTCCCTCCTTGCAGAAGACCAACTTCTCCCTCATCCAGAATCTGACTATGGTGCAGTGTTCCTAAGTGTCAAAATGTCTGAGCACCAAAAAATGGACCATGGAGACTGCTGGTGTTAGCAACTCTTTAATCTAAGGACCTTGCTACTCAAAAAGCAATCCGTGGGCCCACAGCATTGGCAACGCTGAATCTCAGGCCCCAATCCAGCCCTTCTGCATCAGAATCTACATGTTAGCAGGATCCCCGGATGGTCCTTATGCACCTTAACGCAGGAGAAGCACTGCCATCAATCTCCCTATTCACTGCATTGTGAGAAGTGTTTCCCATACTATCTTACTTTTTATGTTTAGTCGTTATTTATCAAATTATAAAACATTGATGTTATTTTAATGAGTTGTATGATAAATCAACCCAAAAGAAAGATAACTTAGAGTTTTGTGGTCAAAGGAAATTTTTTAAACATCCATTTCCACTCACATACATATTTTGGGTAAAAAAAAATATGATAGAGTAATCAATAAAAGTTTTTCAAGCATGAAAATATAGTAAGATAAAGTCCTGTGAAGGAAGTAGAAGGGAATTATGAGTTCAAGAAGGTAAAGAAAGAAACAATGTAAATTTCTGACTTGTGCAGGTAATTTCTGATGAATGGTGGTGGATACCAAATGTATTCCCATGTTTATCCTATGACCTGTCAATTACACTCATGGATACATACCCCAAAGAAATCAGTGTCTATGTCCACAAAATATAGAGAGAGAAGAAAAATCACAGTATCTTTACAGCCAAATGTTTCAGTATTACTTAACAAAATGCCCATTAAGAGTAGACAAAGCTTTTTAATATGAAATATTCATTCAATAGAATACTGTGCAACAACGAAAAATGAACTACTGCAGCAACATGCTTGAATCTCACAGACCTCATGCTGATTGAAAGAAGCCAGAACAAAGGAAATGATGCAAAACTAGTTTATGCTGGTATATATGATGATATAGTGATAATAGAGTTCAGAGAAATGTCACCTGTGGGGGGATATTGACTGGGAGGGGGCACAAAACAACCTTCTGGAATGCTGGATATATACCCACCTCTACCTGGGTAGTCAATACACTGATAAAAATTAACTGAGCTGCATGCTTAAGATCTATGCATTTTACTGTCTATACATGAAACTTCAATAAAAAGGAAAAATTAAAAATTGCTGTTATTTAGCTTCCATTTGATGCATGTAAGAGAGTAGTGTAATTTTATTCTACAAGGTCAATATTTACAATATGGCAGAAATTATATCCTTTGTAACTACTTAAACTTATAATGAAACTTTTCAGATGTCAAGTTAAAATGTGTGAGGCAAAGAGACTTTTTTCTGCTAAAGTTCATGTAGAGGGTAGGCAAGCAAAAAGTTTTAAAATCAAAATCATTGCTTTAGAGCCCATGTCAGACCCTGCTCCTCCCAGGCATTCGGGACTGCTCAGCCCTGGTGACCCTCCTCTGAACTCCCGTGGTACTTAAGTTAGTCTCAGACCACCTCCTGCTGTTTTTTAACTCTTTCATGTACATGTCTTATCTGCCTGGGCTCCTCAAATGAAATTTAAGCTCTGAGGGTTGATTCTCCCAGCACATATGGGTCATCAGGATATAAATATCTGTATAGCAAATTACTATTTATCTTTACTAAATGCTTTTACCCCAGAACATTAAGTGCTGTGATTATGTGAGTCTTTCCCAACACAAACACACACACTCCCACACACACATATACCACACCTCACACCCACTACACACACTCACACATACACACCATAACTACACACACCATATAATACACACACCACACATACACTACACACACTCACACACCCCATACACCACACACATACATACCACACACCACACATACCACACATCACTCACACATACACATCACACACTTACACACAGCACACATATACCATACACACAAGACATACTACATACCACACACCATACCACATACCAGACATACACACCATACACACTCACATATACACACCACATACCACATATACATATCATGTAACACACACATCCCACTCACATCACACACTCGCACACAGCACACACAAGACATGAATATTACTGTTATCCATTTGTACAGATGAAGAAACCAAGGCTCTGTGTCAACCAAGATCAGGAGCTTGTCCAAGGTCACATTTTGTTCTAGGAACTGTAACAAGCTATGCAGGTACACCTGTGACATGGCCTTCTTGTAGAACTGGATTGAGATGCCTCGTTCCAAGTGCCAGCCCTGCCATATCAACACATAATTATAAAAATGCTTCCCAAATATTTTCCAATCACTTTGAGACCATCCACTCTTTGGGTCTCAGAATAATCCTAATAATCCCCAGCACTTCCAAAGCACACATCTGTTCCAGGCCTGTGCTGAGTTCTTCAGATGTTCCTCTCATACCTTGCACAGCATCTGTAAGGTGGGAGCTAGTGTTCTGCTTCCCCCCACAGGTGAAGAAGTGGAGGCTCAGAGGTAAGTAGCCTCTGGTGTTAGCAGCTGGTATGTGGCAATTACGCTAGAAATCAAGCCCGGAGCCTTCAGATGGGAGCAATAACCCTCCCGACATCCCATTAGATGTGTTATTAAGAAAAAAAAGACTTTAATCCATCTGGAGTCAACCTCTGGCACCTTTTTGGTAACAAGATGGTGGTCTAAAGAGATAGTATTTATCAGAAATGCTGCAGCCACTGCCTTCCTCCATTACAGGACCTAATCAGGAGCCAACGTTCTCATATTTTAGAGGAAAAGCTCATAAATCACATTGTGATGACAGGAGCTGATTTGGAAGGAGCAGAGGAACCTCCCCCAGTTCACACAACCAGCTGGAGCCTCCCAGGCTGGGTCGAAGACGGGACCTCTTGCAGCTTGGACGCCTCAGAGTCAAGTCTTTCTAGCAGGAAGCGGACCTGGCAGGAGCCCTGAGGGGATTTGATTACCCATCTCTTTCTTTCTAACTCCCTTCCAAGTTGCTCCTCCTTGGGGCAGGCACAGATTTGGTTTTCCTCCTTGAAAATTTCAAAAGGAGCAAGAAAATAAAATAAAATACAATTGCTCCCAAGGCACAGACTTCATTCAGCACACGTTCCCCCAGGGAGCCGTTCCAGTCACAGTGAAACACTGGGTGGCAGAAAAATAAAAGGGGGGGTGGGGGTGGGGACAGGGAGGAGGGCGATCTTGGAAAGTCCAGAAAGGCTTTGATCTCAAAACCTTAGAGCTGAAGATGACCTCCTTGAAGGTCTAGGGCAGACTCCTGGGTTACAGACAGAGGCATGAGGCC